CTCAAGTGCCCAGTTCAAGTTCTGCCCCGGGAATGGGATTTGCTCTCAGTCTCATGAATCACTCGCTTTATAATATCAAATGCCCTGGATGAATGGTGCCATCCAAAATATATGGCAAAAGCTTTGAAAGTTGGTCTATTCTTGTAGTGTGTCTGCTACATATGGACCAAAATCGTGCTACGGAATTACTGTCACATAATCATTACCGTATATCCAGGAGGATTCGGAGTGAAGGACATGGTGAGATCCATGGTCGTAAAAGCACGCCTTGCAGCCTATGAAATTCAGGCCTCTGACATTTTTGCAACAATCTTGGTCTCAATTACTTCCATATGGTAAATGTGATCTGATTATTCCAAGTCCGACGTCACCAGAACGCCCTGTATCACTTCACGTCTTGTAATTTGGTCAAGTTTGAACTTGGCATTTTTGACCAAAAAAGGCATGCGGCTGAGAATTGAACAGCAAAAACTATAACGACAGGGAAGGCCCCTCTCCTATACCTAGCATATAGCTATACATAGATGAGGCGGTCACCTACCAAGCAACTGTAACTACGTCCCTTGTGGGATGACGAAGTTAGGGTCACTTGGTAGGGGCTTTACAACACTTGGAAGGGAATTTAAAGGCAGAGCCTCCCCTTAACCAGGCCGGACCGCCCTGCTAGCAACCTAGGTTCATTCCTGTCGCCAAGCACCATAATTGCATCCCTCAATACCACTGCCATATACCAACTAGGCCAGTGCCACTGGTCAGCCAAGGTCATAGATTCACGTCATTTTGGGGGCCATTTTTGACAGCTGCACTAATAAGGCAGCTTTTCCAAATAAAGTTAGTGTTTAAGCTTAATCCACGGTCCGTTCCTCCATGGAACTTTATTTGCACATGACGCAGATTGGCATTTTCTCTACTTGCAGCAGAAAACGAAAGAAGGGTGATTGCTGCATATTGTGAGACCAACTACAAGCCTTGTCTGTCCCATCGGCTGTGTCAACACCTTACTTCCATTTGATTGCCCCAGCTTCAGAAGCACGTTGGTGCTATTTTTGTCGTCGCAGCCCACATGTTGGCCGCTTAAAGTTCAACTATCCCACTTTCTGCGATGCTTCCATATCGACCACAACTCTTCAAGATCTCATCGATCTGAGCGCCAGCCTGACCCCTCAAAATTGGCTCAATTTCACGAGCGGAATGAGAAGGAAGAGGCTGACCGAGCTGTGGCCACAGACAATATCGTCAGTCTAGTGGAAGGAGAAGAGAGGAAATCATGAGATGCGGCGATCTGTCAGGCTACAGCTTCAGTAGGCTGACTTCCAGGAGATATATGACTGCAAAATGTTGCCAATTCACACGGTTTGACGAGCAGGGCGAACAGACTGTTGCAAGTTTCGATCTCGACCGGACAACTGGTGGGTGCCGCATGACGGGAAAATGATCTCGATTGGAGGAGAAAGATGGGGGATTCGGATGTAGCGTTCACGGTTCAAGGCAAAAGATTGATACGGGCATAAAGACCCTGGATAGAAGACAGTCCTGGAGGTAGCTAGGAAGTGGGAAAATGCCTTGGTTCAGGACCACGAGATGGAATCGGCCAAATCTTAAGCCATAATTGCATAGGTCTTGCTGCCTTCCCCCGTGCATTGCGCCGCAAATTCCAACCTACTGCTGCAGCTTCTCATTTCATGAGCCGCGTTTTTTGAGCAACACCTCTTGATTCTTGGGCCGAATACTCATTCCAGTTCACCCAATCGACCAGAAATCTCCTTAACTGTTCCCCTCCACCCGGAAAATTGGTCAACAATTGGCTTCGCCACCAGTTCCGTCCCGCAAAATGTATCCGCATCCAAGCAGAGGTCACCCTGCGAACTTCCACCCTCACGCTTGGCTCGGCTGTCAATCTTTACGAAAGTCCCAACCATTTTTTCACAGTCGTGAGCGACACGAACAATCAAGTCGAGCGTCCAACAGAGCCGGAGAAGAGATTGCCCTCGGTTATTGTCCTGTTGCCGGAAATTTCGATGAATTCTCCATCAATCCTTGTCAGAATCGAGCTGAAGGTGCCGCTGAAAGTGTATGGCAGCTTCAGACCTCACCCGAGAATTCCACTGACACTTATAAGTCGACTGACTCCGATTCAGCAGTCCTCCCAGTTTCAACAACCGTGTCATCTCTTCAGCGCTCAGAAGCCTGCTCACATACGACCATCATTAATCCATCCTCTTCTCTCAGACGCTTTTGTCGGCTCTCCATCGTCTCAAACAAACCAGTCGCAGGCAGCAGCGACAGCAAAAATTCAAGAGCAGGCATTGAGATCCACAACGATGCTGTTTCCCGTCGGTCCCTCACGATGAAGTTGAATACGATGGAGGCTCACATCACTGATGCTGTCGTCCTGTCCCACAACCTCATTTCGTCTCACCGACGCAGGTTCTTGAACGATCCATGATAAGGCATCACAAAGGATCACGATCGCAGGGCTGGTTTGGACAGGTGAAAGAACTGGAAGTGCCTTATCCCAACGCTGGAGCTAAGTTTACGCACCTTGTTGCCTGCATATTCATGATCGCAGCCCGTGCCCACATGAGAGGGCTGAAGCCGCCCGTGGGCGTGACATCGTATGGACGAGTTCAAATCCGAAGTCATGTTCAGTTCTCGCCTACAGCATCGGGATGGTATTCGAAGGAGAAAGCATAGACGAGAGGAAACCCGTTCTACTTCTCTATCCCATGATCCTGCAGGCCAGAAATACCGTCTTGCTTGACTCATGAAGCTCCTTGTTTCTTGTCCCGTCACTCTAAGGTTGAGGTACAGACGCACGAGGCGCATATTCCCCATTTGTGGTCTGAACTCCTTGCTACTCGTGAAACTGGTCCTCTTATGATCACTTCGATTGGTCTCCATCATTCAGCGGTCGCACAGCGTCACATGCCTGTCCAGTTACGACTTTCACTACAAAACCTGCGTCGTTGGCACTCAATCTGAGTGTGATTCTCGAGCTTTCAATACCACCGCTGATGGGCATCTCCACTTGATATTCTCTTTGCTTCCGAGGTCACTACACAACGTCTTCACGTTGACGATCTGCTGCTGATTTCTTCTTCATTCTGCAGAAGTATCGCAATGCTGTTCTCTAGCCCGTCTTTCAGGCGTTCGTGTGATACATGGTCCTCGCTCAATGGAATAGACTCGAGCTCGCCATCCCAACCACGTCCGTCCATTTTGATCAAGCCGTTGTCAATGAGTGGAAGAGAGGAGCCCACTTCATCCTTCCGCAAATACTCGTGGGATGTTACCTTTCTCGTACATGGTGACCTTGCGACTCTGTGCCCAACAGGGTCAGTTTTTATCTGGTCATGTCAGCAAGGCTACCGAAGTTCTAGCAGAACACCTACACCAGTGTTCCCCTGTTGTCAAGATCGGTCGTTCACACTGCTGGATGGGCTCAAAAGGTGCAGTCGATGATTTCGGATCTGCTTATTTCATCTCGTCCACATATTGCTCACGACATCCCTCCGAGCCCTAATCGGTCCAGACGACTTTTTCGCGGCGCGCACCAACGTTGTCATTAGGCTCCATGCGACACATTGATCTGTATACTGAAATCCCACTCAAATCCGACCCACCGTCGTCGCGGCTATACCTCTCCTGGCTGCTTCATCACTAGCCGTGCTCATTATACGGAGGCGCTATCATGCGAAGGCTCTATCATGCTTGTGACGGACTCCGTCGGCACGATTGAGCCACGATGCCGAACAGGCCGACAGGCCAACACTAGGATTCGCCTTCTTCTCGTCGGTCAAGCTCGGCTTGTGAATTCCATTTCACTTCGGATCATCTTTCGACTGCAGCCAATATATTCGATCAAGGACACCTGGCAGAAGATAACGGTTCGTATCGAAGGCATCAATCGGTCTCCAGTTGACCGTAGCTGCAGTGTTGGAAACGGTCACGGAGTGTGTCCGATAGGGAGTCCAGATGCAGTGATCTACTCCCTATCGGCTATATGCACTCCTGAGCCTCCGATAACGTCGCATCTTCACGACAGCTAGAGACCACGATCGATCTGGACAGAAAGCTTGCGATCTCGGGTTGCAACTGAATGGAGACCCATGATCAGTGCCTCATTAGTGAAGGACCGACCTCTCCCTGCTGACAATGAAGAGTCTGAGAGCACAAGTAGGACAGACGACCAGCTCAACTCCCGTGTTGTTTCTACCAACCATTTTCACCAGGGAGCGACACTCTGAAGACATTTGGTCCTCCAAATGCGTTCCGAGCAAAACAATTTCCCAAAACTGATCATGGCGAAGTGCATTCGTGAAGATTGGTCGTCCATCGGAAGGTCGGCAATGGACTGGACAATATGGCGACAATTTCACCTGAGATTCTGGTCATACATAAGGACACAGGATATCGCTTGTCCTTTCACGACTCTACGTCGAGTGCTATGCTCATCGAGTGGACAAGAAAATGCGAGCTCGCCGACAGCAAGATTACGGCCGTAATTATGTCTGTTTCTTGTCTGGGCACGTCGATGCGCCAGTTCAAATATTACTAATCATGGTTTCGCTTGAAGAACAAGGTTGCACCGTTCATGGTCAGATCCACAGGAAGCAGGCCTCCAATCATCGTTTCAAATATGTGATGGTTGTGGAGGGTTAATTTCTTCTTCGAAACCCTCTGCACTAAATCTACTGTTATCTCTTATCGGCCATCCACTTTGACATAAAAGAACGCGGCATCCGGAACAAGCGGCACGACGAGGAGTCTGCCATGAAAGAAGAACGGCCACAGCGTTGGTTGATTGCTCAGGGCAAATCCACAACTTCACCTGTCAATATCGTGACAGGTCGATAAACACCTTGCGATAAATACCTCCTTGGACACGCTCGATCTCCTCCTGGACGCAAGCCAATGTTGCCTGCAGAGACACCATCGGTCCCATAAACTGAAGTCAACCGAAACAAATCCATCGGCGCGCAGAAAAGCGAAGCAACAAAATGGACGCTATCACTGAACACGATGTTCTGTACGATGGTGATAGGAACGTCCACTATCTGGCCGCCGGACCCAGCGATGGACCGCTCATAATCTTCGTTCATGGATGGCCAGCGATTGCAAAAACATGGAAGCCCCAAATAACGACCTTCGCTTCCCTCGGGTTTCGCGTGATTGCGCCTGATCTCCCCGGATATGGCAAGTCGACGGCGCGCAAGGTGTTGAGCGACTACGCCCAGGTCAAAGTTGTGGAGAGTATGCTTGCAGTCCTGAAAGCCACTGGCCGCGACAAAGCGATCTGGGTCGCCCACGACTGGGGTTCCAGCGTCCTGGCTTCTCTGGTAGCGCACCGTCCAGAGATATTCAGGGCTCTCGTTACAATCACTGTGCCTTACCACGCTGGTGAGCTAGGAGTCGATCAACTCCTAAAATCGATCAATCGCAAAATCTACCCTGAAGACCAGTATCCTTACGGACAATATGATTACATGCGTTATTACGAAGAGTCGTTCGATGAATGTGTTCCCTGGTTCGACAGGCAGATCCCGGCTATTATCAAGGCTTTGTACGGACCTGGAAGCCCTGACGCCGCGGGGAAACCGGCCATCACCTCTACACTTAGAAAGGATGGAGGTTGGCTCGGTGGCGTGAAAAACAACTTACCACCTGTTGAGGTTCTACCCAAACCTGTCCTTGATGATGAAGTTTTCAACGAATTGGTGGATGCAATGACGAAGACCGGTTTCTGGCCAGGGACCGCTTATTACCTGCATTCCGAGAACAACCACAAGTATAATACCACCAACCTCGCCAACGATGGAAAGCTGCACATGCCCTATTTGTTTGTCCATGCCGGCTATGACACAATTTGCGACTCGATAAACTCTGGACTCGCAGATCCTATGCGGGAGGCTTGCAGCAATCTCACAGAAGTGACCATCCCTGCTGGACATTGGGTGCCACATGAAAAGCCTGCAGAATTCAACGCTGCTTTGGTGCGGTTTATTCTGGCCGAGGTTTCTGACTTTTGGCCTGGTTTTTCCACTACCCCTTATGTCAAGACTAAGCCTTGACGTCTCGATAGAACATTAAGGTAGTAGGATTCCAAATTTGTCTTGTTATACTTTTACCCATTCGGTTTACTTTTCTCGGTACAGTTCTTGGCAAGCTGCCGCGTCAACATGGGTAGAAAATATTGTCTTCTTTCATGCTCTTCATTCTCATCTCTTGTTCGATCATCAATCTATCACTCCATCAATATGCCTGTTATCACCCACCGAGAGACGAGCAGACACACCCACACCGTCATTTTTCTCCATGGGCGAGACAGCAACAGCCAGGAATTTGCGGAGGAGCTTTTTGAAAGCGAGGCATCCGAGCCTGCGGGGCAACCACGCACTCTTCCAGATTTGTTCCCCAGCATCAGATGGGTCTTCCCCACAGCACCAACACTCCACTCCAAACGGTTTGATGTCATGATGTCTCAATGGTTTGATATGTGGTCAGTCGAAGAGCCCGAAAAGCGAGTCGAACTTCAGATAGAAGGGCTGAAAGTAAGTATTGCCGGCCTCGTGGAGGTGATAAGAGCTGAAGAGTGTCTTGTGCGTCGAGAGGACATATTCTTGGGGGGGATCAGCCAGGGATTTGCCACAGCGCTGTCTACCTTCTTCGCCGATGGCCGAAAGTTCGCTGGCCTAATTGGCCTTTGCAGCTGGATGCCCTTTGCCCAACTTGGTCGACGATCTCACTACTGTCAACGATGATCAGCTTTTCAGTACTGTCCACAAGATATACTTTGTTCAACGACCACGCGAATCACTCACACAATCTCTTCAGTCGAGTCCGATCTTTCTCGGTCACTCGATTGACGATTCTGTTGTTCCCATCGAAAATGGAAAGCGAATGCGGGATATCCTCGTGCGTTCTCTGCGACTGAACGTTCAATTTCATGAGTATGAGAATGGGGGGCATTGGTTCAACGAACCTCAAGGTATCGATGACATCGTCGAGTTTATCCATCAACATATGTGAACTGTCCAGTTTCGTCTTGGATCTTTTGTGTGGCCGCTTCAAGACCTTCTCTTGTGTGTGAAGACCTTCTCTTGTATCGTCGTCGACCCTCACTTTGGAACTGGAAGCACGCTGCTTTGATCGTTATCGTGGCATATTCCTATTGAAGAGTTAGTACAGGCTATAATGGATCGACAGGTACTCACATTGTTCAAGACTTTTCAAGCACAAAAGGATATCTCCTCAATCAGAGGGCTGAACATCTTCACGAGGAAGTACATCACTCCGAAGAGCGCAACATCGCCTCGAAAAGCGTAACATCGCCTCGTAGGCGTAACATCGCTTCAAGAAGCGTAACCTCGCTTCGAAAAGCGTAACATCTTCACAAGGAAGTACATCGCTCCGAAGAGCGTAACACTCGCCTCGAAAAGCGTGACATCTTCACGGGGAAGCAGCATCTTCAGTCGATTGACTTGCGCCGTCGAGTGGCTGGGTGGTAGGCGACTGAGAACGCTCTGGCGACCGAGTTCTCGGAGCCTTCGCTGACCTGATAGCAAGATCACGAGTGGCAGGCAGAGACATCGACTGTCGTTTCGCCGCCGACAGCTCAGTTGAAGCCTGAAGGGATGCCGATCTCTCCCTCCTTCGGCTCCCAGGGGACGTCTCCTGTCTAGGAGGGACATTCGCCGCAGTTGCAGCGAGAACTTCTTGATGGAGTCCTTTAAGTTCTGCGACGGACTCCATAAGATCACCAAATTTCGATTCGATGCGACTGTTTGTGGCACGAAGAATCACCGCTTCGGGGTGCTCCAACTTGAGCTCGTTGGCGGCCAAGGAGAGATTTCGAACTTTCTCCCCAAAAGAGGAGAGCTTCGAGAGTACATCATCCATATTGAGGATGAGGAGGATGAGGAGGATGAGGAGGATGAGGAGGATGAGGTTGAGGTGGATGATGAGGTTGAGGTTGAGATTGAGATTGAGGTTGATGAATTTGGAAGAGGTTTGTGTCATGGGAATAAACTGCAGATATGGGCGCAGTTAGGATAAGACAAGAGGTTGACTTAAAATAGCGCGTCAGTTCAGCACAAGACGCGTACTACTGTCGACATGCGGAATTGAACTTCTTGCAATAAACTCATCTCGATCCAAATCTCAATCTCAATCTCAATTGCAAACCAATGGCCCGGCCCTTCTGGTATCTTGTCCAACAAGCACACCTCAAGCTTTAATCGGTCCTGTCGTGCCCTATAACCTAGAGACCGTCTGCCTACGAACATGGCCAATTTCGCCAATTGAATCCGTCGCGAAGACAGAACCAAGGCTCGTGCGATCGCCCCCAGAACGATGGTTCGGCCATATGAGTGTCGTCAGCAGGGCAAGTTGGGCACTGCATAAGAGCATGGTTTGCATACTTCACTGAACATGGATGTCTCGGAATAGGCATTGATGTACCATGTCACTTAAGGGTCTGAGCTGTGACTTTGAATGGGCGGCCGATGACGGCAGAATCAAGCATGGACTTCGGAACGACATTCCTCAGTACTGCCTCTGTCTTGCGCAACTCATCATGCTTCTCTTCCTGTACACGGTTCCGCTTCCGGATTTGAATGAGCCCATTTCTGGCCACGCTGCTTGTATGCCTTGGTTAGAAGTGAGCTCCTTCGAAGTCAATCGATTCTTCTTCGCTTACTCGTCATATTCTGCGTTGGTATCCATGCTCTAATAGAGCATCGTCGATTGCATTCAGTCCTCATGACCTCAGTACTGCTACATCATGTCTGTCGTTGTCACTCTCATCATGATGGCTCACTCCTCTTCGTCGCTCTCATGTATCCCCTTTGTTACAAGCGAACGATCCAGCCTCAGGAGAGCGAGGCTCATGAGAACGTTTCCCGCACTTCCACCGCCTGTCCGCAACGCCCACCTCCAACGCCGTATCAAAGTATTGATCTCGTCAACTTCCGTACCGTTTTCGCTCGTGATCAACAATCGGATCATCATGGACGAAATCACGGCAAAGCCTGCACGAGACCAGGAATGCCAGAAGGCATCCCAGACATTACGTTGAAGAGATTCGACAAAGTCCACGGCATCCAAGCAGCATGCCTTGGCTCCAATGCGCACAGCATCTCGGCCTGCAGGTCCAATGCAGTCTTGAGAAGGCAAAATCGACTCGATAGGCCGGAGAAGGGCCCGAAAGAGTATGATGTTTACCACACGGTAAGAGAGGCCTAGAGATGCATTGCCATCCAAGCCGGATCGTGGTGGACGTGGATGGTTTCGACCAGCTCCTTGTGCAAGGAGAAATGCGTCGAATGATGACTTCCACTCTTTCAACTGATGGCGGAATGGTTTCGCCAGTTCAATTGATAGCGCAAGATCTCTTTGGGTTCGCTTCGAAGCTGTGAGGGTAAAGAAAGCAACTTGGATATCACTGAGGATTGCCGTGAGTCGTGTGAGATGATAGAAGTGTGACAATGGCTCAACCTGGTCGTCAGCATTTTGTTCCGATGCGTCTGTTTCAGAATCTCCTGCATATGCAAAATCCAAACTTATCAAGGGCGAGACGTCATAGTTGTCGTTGTGGATGTGGCTCGTCAGACCTGCCGACATAAAAGCCCATTTGTCCATGACGAAAGTGGCCCACCAGAGTCTCCGCCGTAGACGCTTCTCCCAATCTGGGATGCCAACCCAGTCAAGACAATCAGTCGACAGCCCGAAGCTCTGCGCGAGTGCGACCGTCCAGCCTAGGAGGCTCCAGCGGAAGACCGTATCCATGACAAAGCGATCGTCGTTGACTCTTTGAAGAAGCAGCAAGCACGACTGGAGCGTAGATAAATGTGGTGTGTGCACCTCATGCGTGACAGCCAACCATGCAATTCGGTATAGCCGTTGACTCGACGGAGGTGAGTGAACTATAGTGGTAGCAAGCACATCGTCATATGTGAAAAAGGCCAAAGCAGATGCGTAAATGGCAGCCTTGAGCGAGAGCGAAAGAGTTTTGAGTTTTGATGGAAGCTCAGCCATAGGACAGAGAAGCCGGGTCTTGGACAGGATGGGGAAGTATGGATAGACATATCGGAAGAACAGTTTCACTAGGCGGACACCCGTCTCCTCTGAGACCATCTGCGAAACTTCCTCTGACGCCTCGTCAAGCACCTTCTGGTCCAGTCTAGGCTCTCCTCGGTCGTATAACGAATGATCCGCGATGGACATGATCAAAGGCCTTTCGGTACTGTGCATGACATCTGGGTCTAAGGCTCGCAGTATGTGTCGCGGTGTCACTTTGCCTATGTTGTCCGCCGAGTCGAGACGGTCGGAGGAGAAATGCCGCAAGAGGTACGGATCCGATTCCCCCGTGTCACCTAGAAGGAAAGCTGTCTTTGTCGGCCACGCATCCAGAGATTCTGGAGGGACATCACGTTCTCGACCTGCGTGGAATAGCCTAGTCTGATTGAGGGCATCGGTAGAGAGTTGCGACGTCACAGAACCAGCGACCTCGGCCGGTGATAGATGTTGGGAACTGCCAGTGGATTGTGGCGAGAAAAGAGCTATATCAAAGTCATTGAGGGTAGAAGGTGCGACCTGTGGCTCTAAAATCAGTCAGTCTTGAGCATCCAGGTACTTTGATGTTGATGTTGATGGCGTACTTTGAGCGTTGTAGGTGTTAGTCTTGGCTGCTTCAACATCCGACTTCTGCCTTTTCCGTGGGGGCCTCTCGCTGATGACACATTCTCGGTCATATAACCGACATGCGTAGCAAGGAGGACCCTGATCTAGTCTGCAGGCACTCTTACGAGATCGACAAAAGTCGCAAGACCTTGGAGTTCGGGGCCGATAGGTTCTGGAACTGGTGAGGACGGGGGCAATATCAGGACGCTCATGAGGCTGGACATGGTCGTAGTTTGAGCCGGTTGAGAGCATACTCAGAGATCATGGCAAATGAGCTTTGCCGAGACAGGTTGAGTACGATGGTACACCGAAGTCCAAATAGGGTGACGAGGAGAGAGGAGGAAGGGCGTGACAAGAGGTTGTGGTGGCTTGGCTATCATGGCACTAGTAAGTCGGCAACCCCTCGCCATCGCGCCGCGCCGTCTTATCTCCAGCCGTTAGCCTTCAGGTTATCTTTCTATCTTGGAGAGAACACGTGCGGGTGAGTAATGAGGGGAGGTGACACTACAGCCACAGCCACAAAAGCCACAAAAGCCACAAAAGCCACAACGTCGGTTTTCACGTCTCTACAAAGGCTTCGCTGGTAAAATAATTCCATCACAGCTTCCAAACCCTATTCGACCCCCCACAACTTGCGGATTCTCCTTTCTTCCCGCCCATCCTGTAAAGGTCACCTCGTCTCCATCTTGAACATAATATCTGCTGTTCCCCGCCGGCGTTTTGATTGACTGGGTTCCGTTTCGAGTTTGCTCGACGAGAGAGCATATCGAACCTGCATCCTACATCTCAAATTAGCACACGCCGCAGTTCCCGCTATCTGGCATCATACCTGTCCAGTGATGGTGCCCGTCCCAATCAGATCTCCCGTCCTCATTTCGCAGCCTCCAAAAGCATGATGAGTCAACATCTGCGCGAAGCTCCAGTAAGCATTGGTCAGATTGCTGGTAGACACATCAAAGACTTCTCCTTCGGGTGACAGCTTCCAGCTCATGTTGATTGAGATGTCAAATGTCCCGAGTTCTCTTCGGTCAGTCAAATATGGGAGCAAGTCGGATGGCTCTTGGGGCTGAGCCTTCGTCCGATACGGTTCCAAAGCATCGATCGAAACCACCCATGGACTGATTGTGGACGCGAATGATTTGGCATTAAAAGCCGCAAACGGGTGGTCTTCCGGGGCTTGTACATCCCGCGCTGTAAATGCACATGTCAGTATATTTCAAAGAGAAGAATCTCACACCTCGTACTTGACCAATCGTTCAAAAGCACAACTCCAAAGATGTGTTCTTCGGCTTCGTCAATCGAGACTCGCTCAAACCGTTTGATTCCTTGACCGACAAGGAAAGCGAGTTCCATCTCGACATCCATTTGTTGCGAAGGTCCAACATAAGCTTTACCATTCGAGTCGATCAAATGTCCCATCGGCCTGACGATTGGTGTTCCCGAAGTCACAATGCTGGACACTCGAGCAGTGAATGCACGTGGAGGGTTGAACCTGGGCAATGAATAAGGTCTTGTCTTCAATGCTTGGTGCATTGACTAACATATTCACAGGCGTTTCCGACGTTGAATGGGTGTTTTTGGCATGCTGGCTTTCGTCAGTTCCCCCTTATTTCGCGCCGTTTCGAACAACCGAACACACCTACCGTTCTGGAGTTGAGAAAGTCCGTAAAGTCCCCGATTTGCATAGGAAGGTGCATTTCTACCTCTACCGCTGCAGTATCGACGATGCACTTTTCTTTCAAAGGCTTGTTGTCTCGCAAAATCGGTGTCATTTCGACCAGCAAATACTTGACAAACAGTCGCACGGCGTTGACAGTCTCACGCCCGAGTGCCGCAAATTCGTTCAGACTCCGCTATGAGCATGCAATCCTATTAGCTGTCTCGTGTCTCTGAAGAATTTGTTCGTCCAAAACAGTTCGTTATCAGCAGAGGATGTCATGCCTACCTGCTTGAGGACGGAGTATGGAAACTGGCATGTGCAGTACATGCTGAATGCATCGCTTTCGACCAGAGCAGCTAGGTCAACAATGTACCTACCAATGGCAATGCCCGGACGTGGGCAGTCCTATCTGCATTCAGTATGTCACGGACGACACAACACCAAGTAGCATAATGTTGCCCACTCACATTGCTAACGGTTGAAAAGACCCCGAAAGGTAGGTTCTCGATCGAGAAATCATGGTCTTCTGGGACATCCAGCCATGACTTCAAAACCATGATGAATGGAACACAATTTCTTCAGCAGTACGGTCGAAAAGAGATTCCACAGGAAAGCTCGAGTTTTGATGTCGCTATGCTTGTGGGCCTAGCCGCTTTTTGAGCATTTCCTTGCAACACTTACTTTAGATGCCGTGTCTGGATTGGCATATGATAAGGATAGATCTGTACCCCACCGGGCCGATAGCACCTCCGTAGATTGCTACAGATCTCCAACAATTCCCGGCGATAGGAAACTCGGCAAAACCCGATGGGTTTATCTACACAGAATAGCAAAGGAATCCTGCGAATTAAGCCAACCATGCTGGGCAGTCTCTGGATTAGTAACGTTCTCATTCTATGATCTATACTAGTTCATTGGATATACAGGCCTCCATTCACTCAACCATTGGTCCCTTGGTCCACTCAAAGTGCTTTTTCCTCTTCGTTGATACTGCCCATAGCCCAGCTTCCCTATCACCTGACCCTCTTTGAAGACCAATTTGCCTCTCACAATCGTGTACCTCGGCCAGTTCTTGAATTCTATTCCTTCGAAAGGCGTATAGTCAATGGCGTGGTGCAACATTTCGTTGGTCAACTTGAAAGGTTTGAAACCTTCTTGGGGATACCAAATCGTCAAGTCGGCATCGAAGCCCGGACCAATGGTCCCCTTGTTTGTAAGGCCATACAGCTTAGCCGGGTTGGTCGAAGTGATTTCAACAAACTTCTGGGGTGTAATTCGGCCCGTGAGGACCCCTCCAGACCAAAGTAAGGGTATCCTGGTTTCTACCCCAGGAAGTCCATTCGGAATATACTGAAACTTGCCTTGCGGACCACCTCCATGGGCAAGCCCCCGTTGCTTTCCATCGGGATGATCAAATATAATCGGAGCATGGTCTGACGACAAGGTGGTAAATGTGCCATTCTTGATCCCGGTCCAGATAGCCTCTTGGTCGGCTGGTTCTTCCCGAATCGGGGGTGAACAAACACACCGTGCGCCTTCGAAGCCTTCTTTCTTCATGCTGTCGGCTAGGAGAAATAGATACTGCGGGCATGTTTCCCCGTGGACGGGCAAGAGTCTGGTTTGTGCGTCGCGGATCACCTTTGTTGCGTGTGCACCTGAGATATGGACCAGGAGGATGGGAGTGTCCATAAGTTCCGCGAGGACAATGGCTCGATTCTGCAATTACTCAACTTCAATCATGATGAGCAGGGCGTCACTTACAGTAGCTTCGGCTTCCACGATCGGGGGCCTCGAGGTGCCATGGTGATATGGAGCCGTCATTCCCTGCTCTTCTAAATGCTCCGTCATCCAATCAATCACATCGGCGTTTTCTGCATGAACCATGGTCGTAATCCCAACCCTCCGGGCGGCATGCATGACATCCAGGATCTCATAGTCCCTCAGTTGGAAAGCCTTGTAAGTCATGTAGATCTTGACACTGGTGATTCCGTACTTTTCCACAATCATGGACAATTCGTTTTCCAGGATGTACTTTGTTGGATTGGAAAGTATCATGTGGAAACCATAGTCGCAATATGACTGACCATCCGCGAGCTTGGAGTACTCCTCCAGGACAGGAACTAAGCTCTCATCGTTACGAAGCTGACTTGCGAAAGTGATGACCGTCGTCGTCCCTCCCGCCACCGCACTGCGTGTCCCGGTTTCATACGTGTCATTGGTGTAGTTCGCTAGGTCCGGGATCTTCCCATTTGTGATCTGTGTTTTCATGAGACTAGAGACCGATGCCTCGTACATTTGACTCAAGTGGACATGGGTGTCAATCCCGCCAGGCGTGATGAAGGCCCCTTCTGCATCAATGACTCCAACACCGTCCTGAGCAGGAAGACTGCAAGCTACCGCGACGATCTTCCCATTCTGCACGCAGTGTCAGTGGACTTTTCATCCTTCACCAAGCCCATAATACCTTGATGCCAATATCACAATCATACCAGATGTCGGAAGCGGTGACGACGTTGCCTTTGCGCACAACTAAGTCGAAGTCCATGGTTTGGGCTCTCGATTCAACCTAAGGTCCGCGTTTCAGACGGACATATCGTAAGACTCAGAATACTAAAGGTTCAGAGAACGGCATAGCTGCATCGTTAGATATCGCACCATCTTCACCAAGTCTGACTCGGTCGCTGTAGAATATTGAGTCAACCATGGCGATATCACCAGGGCCACGGTTATCTGGTGTTCCAGATCGAGATGCAAGTCCATTTTAGGCAGGTCGGAGGAGTATCCAATCAGCCTATCAACGCGTTCATGCTCCACAGATAGGAATAAGATAGACGACGGACATCAGCGTCATCCGGATAGGAATGTCGATCATACCCCATTTTCCTGCTCACGCTAACGTGGAGTATCTGAAGGGTCGGGCTCGGGCTCCTCCATCCTCTTTACTAGGTTTCTACTGTAGTCGTAGGTTCCTTAGTGGAAGCGTTCATGGGCCCAAACGAGGAGGTATTATTCAACGTGGGTGGGACAAAAGAGGCTTCACTTGAGATCTTGCAAGGTACTATCAGTCGCACTCAGTGATCGCTTCTTGACCTCCAAGGGCAATATGTCAAAATAATAGCAAGCTGCAATGTTGCATCGCTAAACCTGACTATCGACGTTACAGTATCATCGCGTTCTCCTCACAGGAACACGAACGCCCCTTCCCCCATCTTCCCCGCATCCCCCCCTCTTATCTAACACCGCCTTCATCAATTTAAGTCTCACGCAACCTTTGTAGCAACCACAGTGCTGTGACCAACCGTCTTCTCCGTAGCCGACTCAGACTCATCCAGACTTGGAACCTCCCGTCCCTGAATCACAGCACCGTGATAGTTTGGTATTGTAGCTGGATCGAGCTCAACCCCAGCCATCTCTTCAAACTTCAGGTTCATGCTTTTGATCACCTTCTGATTCCTCGTCGGCCAGACATAGCAGATGGCAATATAGACAACGATTGACACGACGAACGATAAACACCAGCCGAGGTGACCAAGGTTCATAGCAGTCTCTGAGACGTTCGCACCAAGAGAGCCACAGAAGCCAGGGAATGGAATGGCAACTGCCACGACGTAGGCAATATACGCTTGAACATTCCAACCCTTGTGGTAGTAGTAGTGAGGGTTGGCCTTGTTTCCGTCGTACAGATGCCTGAGAAAAATGTTCCCTTTGGTAAGGACGTAGTAGTCTGCCACCATGATACCGACGGCTGCGGCCATGAAGATGACGTATCCACCGAGGAAATTCAAAAAGACTGCTTCCTGTCAGCATGGCCCCAAAATTTTAAAGATGTTTGACTCACCTTCAGCGGATCGAAGGATCTGCCAGGGGTTGACGGCCCAGGCTAGGCATAGTCCAAGAAACTGCCCTCTAGTCATGTTGATATATCGCGGAAGGAGCATCGTAGAGTCGGAACCAAACGGAATCATGTTTGCAGCAACGTTGGTCCCAAGGACTAGGAGAGCCCAAAATGTCGCGCAGAGGAAAACGGCAAACCGAACCGAAGAGGTTGGGTATCTAAGCAAAATTGCGTCCAGGAGATCCCATGGATTCCACAGCTGAAGACCCCAAGAATGGTTGATGGCGGAGGTCGCCAAGATACCAAGACTGGCATTGATGGTAACACTGATAGGGTTGGCGATCAACTGCGACCAGACAGAAGCATATTTGTACTTCGCCCAGCGGCTAAAATCTGGCTGATTTGTGATGAGGTTTGCCTTCAACATGATTAGTGACAATCCACCGGTGAGGGCTAGAAACCACTTACAGTGTTCCCGAGTCCGCTGTTGAAGGCATATACAACAAACCATGCAAAGCTGGTCGATTTCGATGCAGGAGCTCCGGGGAGGCCTCCGCCGATGTTGCCTTTCGTGTTCGCCATACAAAAGATGAACAGCCCAAAACACGCGGGGACAACAGTACACATCTTCACCGTAAAGAGCCAACGCAACTGATACGGCCTAAGCAGTGTGAAAGGGATGTGGATCAACCAATAGAGGAAGAAGGCAATGAATTGAGCACTGGTCATGCCAACCGAAGCCGGGATTGAGTTGTGTAGGTTTCGGAACGAGTCACCAAACACTATCGAGAGGTCAGCAGAGATTGCGCTGAGTGGAGACCAGACATACCAGCGTTCAACATGTTGACAAGAAAGGAGGATCCAATGTAGAGCTTGATGGCATAGTATACAATGGCCAGAACAGCTCTTGCAAAGACGACGTAGTATGCGCCCCAAGTACCGAAGACAGCTCTTGATATGATGGGGTATCCAACGTGATATACTTCACCTGAGCGAGAGTTGATGGCCATGGCGACAGAACTGACTATCTGACTGAAGAAGACAATCAAAATGGACTGCCACCAGTTCATGCCAGTCCCAATCATGGTAGAGCCAAGGGTCCAGTTGTCCATGGACAGACTGAAGTAGAAGAAAAAGTAGTTCCACCACACCCATGTGCGTGACTCCGGCGCTGATGGGAGTAGATCTGTGCCATGTTAGTGCGAGCATTTAGACATTGATCTTGGCACGTACCATCATTTATCCATGAATAAGAGCCCGTGGGATCGGCATCTGATCCAGGAGTTCGGAGGTACTGCTTGAAGTTCTCCTTGCTTTGAATGCCGGTTTTAAAGTTGGATTTCTTGAGTCTGAGTAGAGCGATGAGATTCTTGGGACGGAAAGCATTGATCCCCGTGATTGTGGGTTTGTCAGAAGCCTCCATTTTGTGCCACGTTTGAACTCGCTGGGTGGAATTTGACAGTTCAGTAAGATTTCAGAGTAGAGTCACAAAGTCTGACAGAATGCGGAAGTAAGTGGTCAATATATCGAACGACCCAGGCGCAGTGTGGCGGAAGAGGTATCATCTTCGGCAGTCCTATTGGTGTCTTGCCCTTCGCTAGAAGCATGTCGGGCATATGTTACATGCAAGATAACAGGAGACTGATTTGGCAAGAGAGTGATACGATGTGGCGATCACTAGTGCCACAGTGGGTCGTGATACCACAATCCGGCAACAAGCGAAGCTTATCTCCACATACTTATCTTGATGGACTTATCATATACTTATCAAGTACCTATCATATACTTATCTTCATCTTCAGGTACTTATCTTCACGTAACCTGTCTCCATGTAGACTACTCTATGCAAATGGCATGCGGATATCACCAGGTGCAGTGATTTGGATGGTTGCAAGTGCCCCTCAAGACAAAAAGAGTCAACTTGTATGACCTGCTGTTGTAGCCAACCTTCACAACCATGCCATCCTCAACCTTGAAAGATAGCAAGCCTGACGGTCCCCGACGAGTACCGTTGTCGGCAACAGACGTCAAGAATGGCACGTATTCGACTCCGGCTCTGCAGATGGCTCTTGAAGGGCTACACCAAGATGGAATGGTCATTCTGAAGAACGTGGTTGACCCTGAACACTGTGATATCTTGCACAAGCATATGAGTGGTGATAGAGACCGCATCTTGAGAGAACGACATGCCGGTGCAAAGGTGTATAATCAAGGAGTCAAGTGTAAGCCCTTCCTCAGTCACTCCGCATGGATTCTGATTGCGCAGCCAATATCTTACAAGCACCCCCGTTCACGAAGCCTGAATTATTGTTTGAGGATGTCCATTTCAACCCTTTCGTCGTCCAAGTAATGAACGCGTGAGTCTGATTCTTCTTCCCGTGTATCCTTTCTCATTTTGGGCAGGTATTTGGGGCATCTGCCCAAATGGATCATGTCTACAGGCAACAACGCCTTGGCTGGGACAGGGGGCCTCCGACAACCAGTACACAAAGACACTCGCTTCCGCCACCCAAAATGCCCATTTGTGATCGTTTCCAATACTGCCTTGAACGATTTCACATTGGAAAACGGTGCGACGGAGTTCTGGCTTGGTACGCATGCCTTCACCGACGAACGGGACCAAACTGTCGCCACTCCTGAGACCGCCTTTGGCAAGCAAGTGGTCGGCACGCCATCTTGTCCTGTGCTCGAGGATGTGATCGAAGCTCGGAGGGCGGTTCGTCCACCCGTCCGGGCTACCATGGCGAAAGGCGACGTGATGCTTCGAGACTTTCGATGCTGGCACGCAGGCATGCCCAACGCGACGGATGAGGATCGAATCATGGTCGCCCAGATCTGGATGGTAAGGAAGCCGACCACAGTTCAAGATGTTGCTAACTTCTTTAGGCACCGTGGTATCCAAATTTTGTCACCCGCCTGAACCTCCCACTCTCTCAAGTCGAGTTCTTTCAAGGCCACGCCAATAAGATGCCTATGGAGATTATGGCGAACTATATCAGTGATGAGGCCGTCGAGTTCGATCAACATCGAGACAACTTCTCCATGGACCCCAGCCATTATCTGGATTACTATGATATTGCTCCGCAAAATTATAGGTATACCTGAGTTGCACACCTGGCGTGAAGGGGGCAAAGCATGGGTGTAGAGGATGCAGCCGGGACTGAGAGCGAATATGGTTGGAAGCGATGTTTGAGAGAAACTAGAAAGTTCTCTTCTGGGTGCGACATCGTAGGGAGCTTGAATCCGATTGATGTTAGTGTTGGTGTTGGTGTAGATGTGAATATCCAAGAGACGGGCTACACGGCGACAGTGGCGCCGTGTGTTTCAGGTGATGGACGAGATACCACCTGACATGATTGTGTGATGCTCTGAAGGCATGACCAAGCAATCGTCGGGCATCCGGGGGTGAACCAGGAACGTATCGAACTATGTCGGCGGCGTTAGTCTAAACGACTATTGTAGATAGGCCCACAGTCAAGGCCTAGGCTAAACGACAGGCATTGAGGGGCTCGCGTTGAACCCGGCCAGAGTGGAGGGCTAGGATGATGGGCAGGCCAAGCATCAAAGCAGATAACAATCGATGCGGTGTTCGCCAGCAATGGTGCAACCCTACGCCAATTAGGAGATTCGTAAACATACTATGTTTCCGTCACCCGCGTCCCCTAGGACGTCGGGAAACATGGTGTGTTTCTAGGATCTACCAATCAGCGTGCGGCCTATCGGATCTTCAATACATGAATGTATTTCATTGGTGGAGACGCGACGCCCGACGTATTCGAGTTACCACTTACTGCCCGTAGATTCGCGACAATAGCGATAGATTATATACGCATCGTCTTGTCTTAATGAGGCTGATCGATCGGCGTCTCATATACACTCGCCGTCGACATAGTTATTAGGATGCTAAATTAATGGGGTCGCGATGCCATATACGCATACGGTACGTATACTATACCCACCGAGCGCTAAGAGTGTCATAGGTCGTCGGGACCAACCTAGCGACACCATCCCAGAGAAAATGGATTCTAGTACTCGGGATACCAAAATCCGACATTAAAACTCTAGTAGTAATAACCATAGTATAGTAACTCTTATAGTAACTCTCATAGCAACTCTCGTATTCACTAATCGACGCGCTACCTCCGCGACTCCACCGGATCTTCGATTCGAGAATGTGTTAGTAGACGCGCGACGCGTAATACACGACGCATCTTATTCGCGCTCTACTATACTTGAGCGACTAGATATTTATTCATCGTACTTAACTACTCTTCTATATTCAACGCAATATCTTCCTTGGACGATGAACTGGTCTACTCTCGCGCCGGCCGAACGGTACACTCGTCTTCGTGCTCTCCACCTAGAGATCGTACAGAACACTCTCGTCGATGGTAGTGGTCGACCTCTACTCATCTGTCGCGCTTGTGGCTATGTCCTCTCTCCACGGGCAAATAGCGTCGCGAAACATCTAAAAGAGAAACATCAGCTTCCTGCCACCCAATACCAAGGTCTAACCTCCTTCCTTCGTTCTCTCGGCCTCATCGACCCGCGAGATCTTAGTCTGCTCCCCGACCATCTCGCGCCGCTTCCTTACTTAAGAAGTCGACCCGGCCACGCGTGTTCTCAATGTCCGTACCGTAGCCTCAGCCGGAAACTCGTCAATGATCATCTGGTCACGCGACATCCCCGTCTCCAAGGCTCGGGTAGATGGATTCGAGATCATATTCGGACGGTCCTCCTTCAGAGCTGGACCTTCAATTCTCCCCTATCCAAAATGTGGTTCACAATTCAATATAGGATTATGATCGATCCTCATACAAAATGTATGGGAGGTGGAAATCTGGGCTTGGCGCGCTAAAGTTAGGATTATGATTGATTTCAACTTACGATTATGATAGGTTATTGGCGGTTTCCCGTTTTGCAATTGGAGTGAAGTGAAGAATGGACAGAGTTCTTGCTAATCACGCAATTTTCACCCGAATTGACCCCCAGATGCAGATGTAGTCATTCATGCAAGACGGGCGATTTTGGGTGGAAGGAACACCAAAGGTTCACATCAGGGGTAAAACATTTCCGGTAGGTTTCCCGAGAGCAGCATTCACAGAGCTTCCCCAGATATGGCATCCGCCATTCGGCATATTTAGCGAGATGAGAGTCGGAATAGGGAGGTGTCGAATCATCAGCCAAAGTATTGTATAAGTGACATTAAGCCAAAAGAAGGTGTAAAAAGTGAGAATGACATCCGTCAAAAGTGATATTTCATACATTTTGCAAATTCACCCGTCATCATGCCCAAGGTCATCCAGTCCGAACCCATTCAGGTCTATCACTAGTCTGGCGACATGTTATGGCATAACATGTCCGGGGTAGGCGATTTCGGGTTAGTGGATTGCCGCATGGAGTTTGGTTCAGGGGAGGGCTTGGCATGTTATGGCATAACATGTGTCGAGATGGAGCGACGACAGCGTAGTCGGCTCTAGACAGTCTGTGGTGAGCTCCTAATTATTACCATAGATGATACACTCATCAGTTACGATGCAAGAGCCTCTGCACTTTGAAGAACCCCTAGGAGTGGTGATCTGTCATCGTTGTGAATCTGGTGTGGTGGTGGATTCCCTCAACTCAATAAATAATCATTTTCGTGCCAAACCACACCACTTGAAAGGTGCCGCGTTGAAAGCCGTCCACGCTCGCTTCGCAGAATGGTCGGCACGAAGCTCCTATCTGTATTCGACCGTGTCACCCTATCTGTATTCGACCGTGTCACCCTATCTGTATTCGACCGTGTCACCCTATCTGTATTCGACCGTGTCACCCTATCTATATTCGACCGTGTCACCCTCCAGACATTATAACATGGCGAATCGCGTGGTGTTTCGGCCGGCCGCCCTCCGTTAGAATCTGGAGAAACGCGTGTTGTTTCCACGGATTAATGGTTCTTCCGCTCACACGTGACATTTCCTCCCATCAAAACATACATGTGTTTCATTGGTC